GCCTTCTCGTCGAGTGGCTCTAGCTTCATAGCAGCCACGAATGTTAATTCACCTTTTCGCACCCCTTTCTTCAGTTGTAATGTCGATATATGTTGGGGTTCCCTGGCTCCTCTTCGAGAGACGGGAACTACACAGGGGTCGTCACTTCCCATCACACATAGGGAGTCAAGGAACGACATTGGCACCAACTTCATCGCATGCATAAATTTCATTCCAAGAATCACTTGGAAGTCATTCAGTGGCATCGCCATCATGTTTGTGCTCCCACTCCATGTTCTGATCTTGATGGGAACTCCCTTTGCTAACCCGGAGATTCGCTTGGCCTCCGAGTTCACTGCCTTCATTCGACTTGGGCTCTTCTCCAAGATCAGCCCAAGTCACTTTGCCTCTCGATCGGCAATAAAATTATGGGTAGTGCCCATGTCCACCATTGCACAGCTCGTTTGGCCATTGAGCTTCATGTCTACGTACATCAGCTCGCCACTTCTTGCTTTTTGTAGCCTTGTCTTCGTGTTCTCCCCCCATTTGACCCCGCATGACGTTCAACAAACGTATTACTCTCATCCGGGGTCCTTGCGACTCCTCATCATCGCTGTTGGATTTAGAACTACTCAAACTAAGAGCGATAGCCTTGCTCTTATTCGATCCCAGGGGGGGGGGGGGGTGTGTGGATGGAAGCTATTAAAGCATTGAGTGCCTATTTTTGTGGGCACTCCCTCACCATGTGCGGCCCTCCACACAAGAAGCATTCGCCAAGTTTCGGGGCCTTGCCTTTCCGGCTTGGCCCTTTGTGGGAACTCTTCTTCCTTTGTTCGCCCCTGAGCTCCTTCCCTCGAGAATATTTTGGAGGGTGATTGCTTGAAGATTGTTTCCTTTTTCCTAGGTCTTCGGAGGAAACAAAGTCGGTGAGCCTTTCTGCGGCAATAATTGCCCCGATCACGTTAGCAACATTCCTTCGATGTAGTTCTTATTGAGCCCATGACTTCAAACTATCAAGGAAGCTGAACAGCTTGTCCTTCTCGGACATGTCCTAGATGTCCAATATTAGCGCAAAAAATTGCTTCACGTATTCTCGAATAGAAGTATTTTGGTGGAGTTGTCTCAACTTCCTTCCTGCGATGAACTCTGTGTTCTCCGATAGGAACTGCGTTCTCAACTCCCACTTCATGTCCTCCCATGTGTCAACTCAACACCGACCTTGTTGGATCTCCTCCCAACGGGTTCGTCACCAAAGTTTTGCATCTCCGTTCAGATACATTGTTGCTATAGAAACTTTGGTTTTTTCAGAATCAGGCCTCATAGTTCGAAAGTATTGTTCCATGTCGAACAGAAAATTCTCAAGCTCTTTAACATCTCTGACCCCTCCATAACCATGAGACTCGAGTGCCCTCAAGGTTTATGGCGGCGTAACGCGGGTGTTGCTTCCTCCCACATTTAGTACTCTTGTGAGCATGGTCACCCATGAAGTGAATTCCACCACAACTTCCTGCAGGTGTTGCACGGAGTCTTTGGTGTCATCTGACAATCGATCGACTAGGGCCTCAACCTTGTCGATCTTGGACTTCGCTTCTTCTTGCGAGCTTTCTACCCCAACAAGCCTTCGTTGGCCATGGTAGAGTTCCTCCAAGCTTGCTTCAAGGACATCCAAGCATGTTTCCGGCATTGTGAGTCTCTCCTTATGACTCTTTTTCCCGGTTGGCGCTCCAGATTGCACATCCTCCGCTCGCGGAGAGCGGCCAACTTCTCGCTCATCATGTTCACTGTCACGCTCCTCCTAAGCGGCTCCAACAGTATGAGAGCGAGTGTGTACTTGCAGCCCACCTACGGTTGCTTGGGGCAAGGGTTCGGCTTGCCTCGTCTTGCTTGATTCGCCATAATGCTTTGCCATGGCGAAGTTGCGAAGTTCCTTCGCTGCTCGCTCGAAGTGCTTGCCCGCTCTGATACCACAATGTCACAGACTTAGCTGAAATTGCCTAAGTCGTGAGGCACCCTTGCGGCAAAGATGCGAACTTAGCTTGCGTCGCCTAAGTTGCGAGGCACCCTTGCGGCAAAGACGCGAACTTAGCTTGCGTTGCCTAAGTCGCGCTTCGCCCTTGCAATTTGCGTCCACAAAGATTAGCCCACTTGCAACCTCTCGCAGGTCCCGAAGGACCTATAAAAGAGAAAGTTGATTAGTTCGAAGAACGAGCGACGGACAAGTCCCGACGTCTCACGAAAAGGGGAAGCTTTACAAGCAATTCAGCGAGCACCTTGCGTGCACAAGAGAAAAGAGGAAGAGGAGGAAAATAAGGACTTTAGAGGGTTGAACGGATAGCTGTAAGTCCACAAACAGTTGCTCACCGGGTGTCGGGCGCGACAACAAGTTCCCGTCAAGGTAACGTGCGAACTTACGAAAGATTGTTCAACGCCCGACACTATACTGAAGTCTCATCCTCCATGGTGCCACCCGGGTGGTTCCAGGGTGCTAAGATGACTGACGTTTCATGTGCAGCAACGGGCTGTAGAAAACAGCCCGTGGCACACGAAAACGGAGCTGTTTTGGGCTGTTCTAGGGCTGTTTTGCTCGGTTCGATGAGCGGTTGCACTATAGCACTACAACTTGTTCGAACTTACATTTTTATAAGCAAAATGATTTAAAACCAAGCCAAAACATACTGCCAAGCAGCTGTACATGTAGATTAGAGCGACAAACTATTCGTTGAACGAAGTTGTTGTTGGTGCGCGATGACCGTTCGTGACATGAAGTCATTGTCTATTAGTTCTTATGCAAAAAAGCTTACGAGGAGTTTAAACTTTACTTCCTAAGTATATCCATGGTCAACAATGACAATACCCCTCAAACTCAAGCAAAGAGAGGAGGAAATACTCATCGATTTTGTCACTCGATTTATGAATGAGATCCGAGGTATGGTAGATGCACATTTGTCATTCATAATATAAACCTTTATGATAGGGCTAAAGCTCTGTCGCATCTTTTAGTCGTTAATAGAGAGATTACCTGCAATTATACTAGAGGCACTTCAAATGGTCAATCGATATATTATTATCGAGACATTGGTCTCAAGAAGGCATAAGGAATCACACAAGAGGCCAAAGTAGGAGTAGCCATAATCCACCCTGATCCCGAGTTCATCACGATGAAAGATAAACGAACGACTCGAGGTATCTCGCCTAAGGTCCGAGTTGACCCCCCTAAATCTAACTAAAATTAAATTTTTTCTATAGATAAAAGAGAATGAGCTCTTAAAAGATCCTTACTTGATGAAGAGATAGGTCCAAATACAATAGTTCTATTGGGATTGCAGCTACAACATAAAGGACCTACACCCTAACCTTATGAGCTAATGGAGAAACAATTGATATCATCATTTATAAACCCACCTCGGGGAGAGATAGCTCCTTGGGTTATAAGGATTATGCCCAAGCTACCATTAAAAAACACCTGAGGATAGAGGACATGTTGAGAAACCTTAGAGATCATCACATACGCAACGAAAAATAAATATAAAATTGATTTCTTAAAACAAAAACATTGGATTGCCACGAGATGACCGGGAGTGTAAAACTCAAAATCAAAAAACTGCGTTAAAAGAGTGAGACGTTCTCACCTAGGCGAGATCGTATATCCCCTAAACCATATATCTCAGTTCATGGGTGAAAGAGCTCTCACAAACTCTTATCTAGTGATGATCTATATAGTAGACGCAACGATGATGCACCTCCTCGTGTAGCAAGTTCTCTCCTTGTGATCGTGCACAATCACATATTAGTAGTCAAAAGAAGGGGTGGCCCTCTTATTATTCTCTCACATCAAGGAGGGGCTCACGGTTGAAGGAGAGATGGGGAGGAGGAGATAGGTGCCTGAAGACTATAAAGTCTAGCCTATAACTCATAAAGCCGCAACTCCTGTTTATATAAAGCTCCTACTGCTAACTCTAATGGATCCACCTTATTGGGTATTAAATCCCTATCCAATAACTACTAACTTAATGGATATTGGATCCTTATCCAATAATCACTCTAAGCTCTATTGGGTGTCATTTAATGGATCCGTTGAAACAGGGGCTTATTAGATATCTCATATCCAATCTTATATTCGTTGCATTGTCCATAATATGTGTATAACTCTCTAGACTCAATACTGAGCTAGTCGTGAGTTGTGTTGGTTATAAGTGCCCTACAAATCAATCACATGAGTGATGACATTAGTAACACGCTGCGACAATCTCTTTGCTTATTATTATTAGCATTTTATCATATATTATCTAGATGTATATTATAATGTCCTTAGATCTGTGCAATGAGAATCAGATCGTGATGAGATCACGATAATGAGACCGATTCATCTTTAAATACATACGCTTAATCATTCCGATCATATGTAACATAAGAAGAACATCGAGATAACTGGATAGATCAGTGCACTATATATTTATTTATATGATGGAGACGACTAGTCTCATAGTCACTCGTACGAGGACACTAAAGGTATTGTAAAAGTACTTATTGCAGAATGAGTTCACTGATTGATCCACTTAAGAAATACTGAATGATTAATGATACCTGACGTTAGACAGTGATTCCGTAGTTTAAGTTGTGTGTTTGATTCTTAGGCTTAGACATTAAAGATGTCTTGTATGAGTATTTCATTCTTTGACGTTGGATTTACATGTTTGAAAGTTCTAGATATAATATAATCGATTCTTAGGAATAACAATTAACTTTACAAAAATAATTAAGTTCGAGATATAAAGAGTGGAATATCCGGTGTATCTTCGCTTAAATAATATCCCGTAAATTATTATCTCCGTACATGCCGCTCTCACGGGATTGCCTTGCGGTTTGTGTCACTTCCGGCCCACCTGTGTGTCCCATAAGCACCTCCAATAACAAGTCAGGTAAGAACATGGGCAATTCGTGAAGTACCGAGGCGGCACCTTCCGTAAATGGAACGGTGAGGGTGTCGGAGATGGGCGCCGCGAAGGAACATAACCGTCTGTTCCGGGACAGGCGATACCGCTTTTTGTAGTGGGTCTTTATGCTTCCCTTTGTGGGCGCCTTTGCCAAAAGCAAGGCGATAAGCCGATCTTCGCCAACTTCTTTTGGCCCTTCCTTCCCCAACCTCCGCCTGTCCCGCTCCGCTTCCGGGGACGGTAAGGAGACTACCAGAAAGGTCGCCTCCATCCTCCGGCTTCAATCCCTCTGCTCTTCTCCTCTCGGTCGGTCCCCAAGATTTGTCTCATTGTGAGTTCAAGAGGGTTCTAGAAACCCTCCTGCGCTGCCATCTTTCCCCTGTTCTCGTTCCCTTTTCTCGCGGTTTATCGGCTCGAGTTCTTGAGGTTTCTTTTGCTGCGTTGTTTCGGATGGTCTTGTTTCGGTTGAGGGTGTGGGGTCTGCTATGTTTCTGTTGCTTTTTTCTTGTCCCCGAGAGGTTTGATTTTGCTTCGCGGTGCGGCGACGAGAGTTATGCTTGGCTTTCTTGCTCTTAGGGTTGTTGGTGGTTCGTTCTGAGCAGTGGAAGTTCTTGTTATGGATACCTCATATGCAGAGGAATGCGGTTATAGTGATCTTGATGAGGTTATCGAGTTTAGATTTCCTTGGAGGAAGCAGAGGATGAAACCAGCGAGTTTTTTAGCTTGTTGATGTTTGATGGTGGAAGATGACTTGAGAACGAAAGAGAGGCCCCAAGGACGGTTACCTCCTTCCACCGATTTCAAACCCTCTTCTCTACTATATCGGGGTTTCAATTTCGTTCGTTCTTCTCCAAGATTTGCCTCAATGTGAGTTCAAGAAAGTTCAAGAAACACTCCTCCGCGGCTTCTTTCCCCTGTTTTCGTTCCTTTTCTTTCGGTTTATCAGTTCGAGTTCTTGAGGTTTCTTTCGCTGCATCCTTCTGTACAAGTGTATTTAGAAGATGTGTATTTAGCTTGCCTCAACAAATTGTGTATTTGACCTAAATAATTGTGCTTTTTATTGTTTACTTTTACAAATGCAGGCCAGTAAATTTGACTTAACGGTGATGATTTCATTTTCATATTCTAATTATCTTTGGCTATGTTTTCTTGAGCCTGTTCTTGTAAAGCATGTTTTGGATTGATTTCTGGATCATGGTTCTAAATTTGTAGTATTTGTTTTTGGGTTAGGTCCAAGACAGGTATGATATTTACCTTTTATTATTAGTCTTGTGCTCCTACTTGCATAATTTTGAAGCATCAGCATATTGACAATCTTTGATAACCTTAAAAAGGTCAAAATGACTTTTCAGTCAAGGACATGGCTATCCAATGGTACACTTTTCATGCTTTTAACCTAATTGATTTATCTGTGATTCTGGCAGCTTCCAATTCAAAGTTGACAGGTTATCATGTTTCTACATTTCCTACTCAAGCCAGATCAGTTCCTCCCTGTTTTCATCCTCAAGTTGCAGATGACATAATAGATCCACCGCTACTTAAGCTTTCAAAATCTGTTAACTCTTTCATCTTGCTTCATATAGTAGGAAATAGACATTCTTGTCATGCTTGTTGTAGAAGTTAGCATGCTAGAACAGTAATAACCATGTAAATGTTATCATTCAAAATGCAGGTTCTGGTCTTAACCCTGATTTTCATGGGTATGGTCATTTAAGTTCCCTTCGGGAGTTAGAAGCAAGCAGCAACTATGGTCATCTTGAGATAAATTGTCCGTCTACAACTGCAATTTGTGGTGACAATTTCTTGCAGTCAACTCAGCTTCTTTCTCCTCATTGTCGACCTAGTAGAGCTGATTTTGGCAGAAGCAAAACGACGTTATCATATTTGGCTGATAACTCGCATGTATCAAATGAAAGCAGAGCTTATGTCATGGATTACATGTCTTGGCAAAACAGAATGAACATTTGCAATGCTCCCCGGGGATCTTGTAGTATGGGCAGTTACACCGGAAGAGTGTCCAAGGTCACAGAAGGAAGTTTGTCTGATATTCTAAATAGCCTTATTCCTGGATCAAAATATGGATCTCTCCGATGACCATGATGTCTGCATGATTTACATGTCTAGTTATTGTAGTATTTGGAGTTGATATAGGTTTTGAAGTACATCAACTTGTGCATCGTCGTCGTCGTCGTAATGCTTGTGATCTTCAGCTGAAGCAATGCCAGCAGATGTCTCTTATTTTTCTGTTGAACTGTGGCCATGAGAGCTAGAATCACCATACCAGGGAGTGTTGGTTTGTTCCAAAGTTGATGATGTCCTCTTGAACTTAATGTGATGGTAAGGTGATTTCTGTTTGAATTCTTTGGTATTTTAAGAATTCGTTTGTTGCTAAAGATTTGACCATACTTGATTCATTTCCAAATAGTTACTTAGACTTGTATCTATGCATTCTGCTGGCATTGTATCAGTCTCATCATCTACTGTGACCTAATTGCATTTCCTGATGAGCTATCTACAACCTGCAGGACTAGATGCGCTGTGAAAGGTAAATAAACTCGAATGCTTTCAGCTGCAGCTGCAGCTGTGTACCAGCTTGGATTATATTCCGGATCACAAAACTTTTGCTTGCATGTTATGATGATATTTGGGGATTTGCTTCAATATTTTTCAGTTAACCTTTGTCGCTGTGTCTCCGCCAAAAGGGTATCATTCACCACCTTTCGTCAGCACGAGCATGGGAATCACCCCTCACATTCATTTGGTGTCTTCCCGCGTTTAGGTACGTCATAAGCTCTCGCCATTCATTTCGTCAGCGTTGTAATAAAGGCAAATAAAAATAAAGAGACAGCAAAACCACGACTTGTTCGGTTCGGATAAAAGCTAAACAACAATAACAAATTTTGTTGATGTGACTGGTTCTCACGGATAGGGCACACCTACAGTTTGGCAGAAGATCGAAGGGCTTTTCTTTGGTTGAGATGATGTATGATTTAGATTTCTTTATAGTCCCGTAGGTGAACCTTCGTTGCTCTTTCCCTTACTGTAGATTAGAGTAGTAATGAATCTGTGAGCTTTGAACAAAGAAAAGAAAATCTAAATGCCCCACCAAATATCCGTGAGAAAAAAAAAGACATCTTCACAAGATAATACTTCCATATAATATACAAAATTCTCACCTAATCTAAGATTATACAACTTTCGTAATGAAAATATCGTAATCATGATAATGCGTGCTTACGTGTCTGAATGAACCACAAATCTTATTACTTTAGGTCAAAGCAAATTATATATGTTTAGATATATAAATCTTCTCAAAGAAACTAATTGCACTGTTAAAAGTCAATGTCTTACCTGCTCCAGGTGATAAGATCAGTCCAACATCTCTATTTTAATATAGATGAACACGAGTCATTGGCCGTTTCTTTCCTAGATGGAGGGAGCAAATAAAGGGGAGAGCAATATAAATATCTTTTCTCTTTAGACCACCTTATTCCATGTGACATCTTAAGTCGTGCAATAATATATCATTCTTTTGTACATTGTTGTGAATTTGAAATATTTTTATGAGATAAATCTCTCTCTAGTCTATTTATATTTCTTCATCGCATATATGAATGAATATATGACGCATACCGTTCAAATCGAGTTTGGAATCTAGAAGGCCTCACAAAAGGGAGCAGCCGCACCCCCAAGGATTTAGCTTTTATTGTGATAATTACAACATACAAAGATCCCCACTAGTGTTGCGACTCCTCACGGCATAATACATATATCACACATGCACACAGGAGAAGTTTGCAGCAAGCAAGTGCTGCTGCTACATGACGGAGCAAGCAGTAGGGTTGTCATCGCTGAAGCGAGCGCGAGCGTCGTCTCCGATGATGTGGGTTTGTGCCGGCTCCTGGTAGTAGCCATGCAAGCTGGAGTCGTCGTACCCGTGCTTGTGGTAGTTGTAAGACCGCGGAGCGACGTTGAAGAGGAGACGGTGAGCCGGCGTCGGGTGCTGCAGATGGTAGTACTCCTGCGCCTGGACGTTGGTCTCCGCGTTCAGAGGATACGGGCACAGCACCGCCGTGCACCTCGTCTTCCTCACCGCCTCGAGCACCTTCTTCTGGTCCGCCCACCCGATCACCGTCACCTTCTGCATCGCCATGTCTATCTCCACAGCGTCCACCCCTACAACACCATCACAGAAGCCATGAGCTCGGTGGACGGCGAAAGGTTCGGCGACGGTTCTTTGTACCTTGTAGCTTCGAGAGGGCCTTTCGTATCTTGTTCTCACACCCGGGGCAGTCGATGTGCACCCACATCTCCACCATCTGTCCATATTGTTCGGTAGAAAAAGGTTGGAGAATGCTCGATAGAGGAAACAAGATAAGGCAGAACGATAGAGGCTTAATTACCGGCATACTGCAGCACGTCTCGGGTCTGGAACAGTTGGATATGTCTTTGTGCAGAGTTGAATCTTACACTCTACCCATAGATGTTTATATAGATAAAGCTGATCGAGTAGCATCGACGACTTGACAGTGACAGAAACAAGGCAGGCTTAGAATAAGGAAGATACCGTTTACCGAGTCTACCGGGACCAAATATACAAGTGTTGGTTCAACCGATCGACGGCGCCTCCCAATCGACACCTGCCGCGGCTCACTTGAGCCTGTTTGCTTCTCTCCCGGTATCTGCGTGGAGAACTCCGTGAAGGATGAGCGATCGGTCCGACGACGACAACCAAATCGCAGCCATCGAATCCTGGGTTCTGCCACAGGCAACGCCGCTGCTGAGACCGGGAGATCGAGTTAATGTTTGGTGGGGGAGCAGTTGAGGCGTCCACGTCTGCGTAGTATTTAGTGTATTTATTCCTCCCAACTTGGGCTTGCAGCGGGGAAGAGTTCGGGAGACTGTCGATATCGATGACGATGTCATCGGATTTAACTAGTGCAAGTCAGCAGGCAGTTGTGTTGACTGCAGAGCTCTTCTTCCCAGTGAAGTCAGCTGGTTTTGTCTTTAATCATAGACTGACTTGTTCCGAGTCAGTCAATCTTAAACACCCAAGTAAAAGGATTAGTAACAGCTAGAAATGTCCACCACAGAAAACTTGGATCCATTCATTTTCCCACACGATCATATTAATTAGCACACACAACAAAGACCGTACTAGACAAACAAAAAGTCCCTAACCGAGCGACAATAGGATAAAAGACGAGCAAAGATACAGAGTCTTTTCTGCCTAAAACTGCGTTACTGAAGCATCATGGAGCTAAGAATTTTGCGGGGTAAAATGAACTCTGAAAGTTCAAACGAAGATCTCGCGGAGAGTGGCACCCATCAAGCGCCTAAATCAAGTTTGTGCTTGGCCACTCTTGGGTATTTTCTTTAGCAACTTATACAAGCCAAATACATTCTTTTCTTGCCATTTATAGGGGATGAAGAATGATCGGTATGTGGCAGGCGACAGCTCTCTGTCCAGGAAAGGTATGGCCGCTAGTGTCTGAAACCATTAGATTATGGTCAGAACATGGCAAATGGTCACACTAACATGAGCTAATATGAAAGTTGAAGAAACACCAGAGTTTACCTCCCAAGTTGACAAGTCAGTTCCTCGAGCAGGAAATGGTCGCTTCAGATCTAGCTCCACAAAGAAGGTACAGACTTCAGTGTCCTTCACCTGCGCATCCAGTCAAAGCAGGATTAGCATGGAAAACAAGACGGTGCAAGATCATATAACCAAGAAAATGGTAGGGATATTACGTATTGATCACCGGAAGCCTTGTTCTTGTCGTTGAAATAAGGTGGGGCAGCTCCCATCCCTCCAAAACTAGAATTGAAAGGAAATGGAAGAAGGCCCCTGAATCCATCATCCACCCATCGAACTTCGCTAACATATGATGGTACAAAAAACGAGGAAGGAAAACGGTGCCACTCACTTCCGACACAAAGCACAGAGCCTACATACGAAGATAAAAATATGTCAAATGCATGGATATAATGTGATTTCTTTTTTATTATTGTTAGGGGGAGGGTGCGGGAGAGAATCAATGGTTATCAAACATAAGAAAGCATAGGAACGGTAGGATTTTTTTAAAGACTAGCAAAAGTACATTAAAAAAATGATTCGCCATGACCACTTAGAAATCTCAAGAGCTGAAACTACAAGATTAAGAACTAGAGACAGTTACGATTAGAAACTTCACTTATATAGACATATGGTATGACTTTTCTGGCCTCAGATCATTTTACTATCAGATATAAAAATATCTTACCAGTTCCAGCATCACCATGATGTTCCAAGTGTTTATAAATTTCCAAAGGCGCAGAGTACCCATTAAGAATTGAGAATGTGCGGCTATGTGAGGCACACAATATAAGGCCAAGAAAGACGGGTCTAAGTCCTTTTGCAATCTGCACAGGCAGCCAAGTAGACATCAAGCAGTCTTATGGTTACTCGATCAATCACTGACCTAAAAGATAAGACAGGAGACATTAAATGTACCTGAACAATCAGTGTGTCTTCAACTGCATACTTGTCACGGAAAAGATCAGGAAAACTATCAATGACAGCTGTTGCTGCAATGCATATAAGTGGATAGATTGGATAGAGAAACCTGTAATGCCACAAAACAGATCTTAAAACTGCTAAAGTTAAGATGCAACCTACTGTTATCAACAAATAAGACGAAAACACCTACAGGGACTGGTGATATTTCTAAATGCAAATGTATGCCATTTATGATGCAATCACAGAGAAGATTAACATTGACGATGAGAAATGAGACAAATGGAAGTAAAGAAACAGTGATAGAATGGATAATGAAGAGGCTCATGAACTTGGTAAGTTGCAAGTCAAGGGAAGTTTGACTTGTCCTTTGTCCCAAACAAACTACACAAAACGCTTCAATACTAACATTCAGACAAAGCCATAACAATGATAAGGAAAATGACAACAACTAACAACCATTGTAAACATGTTCAAAATCAATCAGGCATGATTCAAATGATTAACCTTATAGAGTAGCAATTTTCTAACAAGAACTGTAGATAAATCTGATGATTTGTATGGTACAGAGTGGAAAAAAAAGTGGCTATTACCTTTCTTCTTTATGAGCCTGCAATGACATAAAAGCCAACCAAATATACATGGGAGAGACCACAATGAGCAAATCCGGGGCATATTTCTTCCTCGCAATAGGTAAAATTGCCAAGAAAAGTAAAGCAAGAATGAAGCAGAAATTAAAGTTGTTAAATCCATTCCTAAAATAAAACAAGGGTCCTTCAGTTCCATATAAGTGGCTCTGACCACCTCCTGACACATTATACTGCACCAGGTTGAATACTGAAGATGTCCATCTTGCGTAGCAGTAATAGTCAGCAAGCAATGAGAAAGCCTGGTAACAGAACCCAAAGTCATAACCATAACAAAACTGGATGTGGTAGTTATAGAGCAGAGGTGGAAAAAGAAATCAGTTAATGGTCAGATTTCTTACAAGAATAAGCACAGAGGTTAAAATCCCGGATAAAAATACTTTTTTGAATCCTCCCCTACTCAATGAATAGAATGTGATTGGAAGAAAAACTAGAATAGAGAAAGGCCAGCCGATGATCACTCCAGCAGCAGCAACAGATACAGCCATAGCATACTTCTGAAGAAGGAAGAGAGCTGATGAAAGAGTAACAGCATACATAGAGAAGCTACTAGGTAGAAAACCTGGAGAAGCATTCACAAAAATTAGAGAAGCAAACCATAGAGACAGGAAACAGATAAAATATTCAGCAGAACTGGTTGTCACAAAACAAGGATAAAAAGGAAAACATTTAATAGTTAAGAAAAGCAGGAAATTTGAAGTAAACAAAGCATTAACAGCAAAGAAAATGACAGATGACAGGATAAGAAACCCACTTGTACTTGCAAAGAAACAACCACTGGTTAGGCACAGCATTGCGAGTGTATACCATGCAAGCCTTTTCCCATATTTTCTTGAAAGGGCAACCACCAGAACTGTATCTGTGAAAGTCGAGACAAGACCAAGAAAAAGCCTTACTGAATAAAAGACTCGAACCTGAAATTTCATTAGTGAGGGAACATAATTAGTTAACAAAAACTTTTATATTGAGAATAAGCTAGAAAGAGAGCAAATCTACAATCTATGATGGTTTAATTCACCTTCTCCTCACTGTAGATCAAAGAAGCTGGTCCAGCCACCAAAGCATGGAAAAAGATGTATAAATATGACCGCAAAGCAAACTCAGAGCTGCACAAAGGTAAAAGATGGTTAAAAAAAAAAAAAAAAGTAAGGATTCACAATCCCCAAACCGTAGATTTTTACAGGTCCTTTTAAGCCCAGTGTGAAGAATGTGAAAAGGGTTATTGGGCACACAACTTCATTCTATCAGGAGTTTTTAAAGAATTTTCAAAATAACATAAAACAACCTAAAGAGCCATGACCTAGTTTAGGTAGGTTCGACACCTTTTCTTTTCACTTTGAGCCATCTTAAGAACTTATAACATTCAAAGACAAGTATATAATAGAAAAAGTTCTAGGTACATGATGCATGGGAACTTCAGAAGAACAATAAAAGTTAGATGTGCTTTTATTGTCAAAAATTGAATTTGAATGGCTGCTTGCCTCCAACTGGACTATCTAAAACATGATTTTGAGCCATCGTAGTAGCCTTTGGTGCTCCACCTACAATTGTCATCATGGCTAAAGCCTACTCTATAAGAACAACACTCTAAGAATATCCAATTAAACCAACATAACATTCTCCTCAATCATCTCTTTTTCTCCCTTCTCTTCCCTCCTCTCTTTCTACTCCATGTTTTAGCCCACACAATACTTGGCATAATATCTATTTGGCTGTCTCATATACAGACATCCACCAATTTTCAGTAATTCCTACAATCACTATACACACTAATTGTAACCAATTCTGAAAAAACATATGACCTATCACCTCCGGCTCCTACAAATGGAAGGACCAAGAACACAATTTCTAAATTGTAATAACACTAGGACCCAGTGCTAATGAAAGCCAAAGAATCATGCTAATCAACAATCTCCGCCTGGTCTTTATTTTACAAAAAGCTAACTAGTGCATCCACACCTACAATTGGACCATCTTTCATCATTCTTTTAAGCTTCTTTAATAGCCATTGGTGCTCCACCTAAATCAACTGACAGATCATGCCACACCTGTCCTTCTCATGCTAGCCATAATGCCACATGTCACCTTTAAAACACTACCCATGGTCTTGAAGTCTACTACATCAAGCAAAATTAGATGCTTTCATATTTTTGGGGCATACCTCACTCGCTAGAACATGGACTGCTCCATTGAACATCTTGATTCTCATCATCCCTAAATCAGCAACATTATTTGCTGAACAATCTGCCAACGGAACAGGGCCTTCTTTTATCTTCAAAGAAACAAAGTAAAAATCCTCCTACATCAAATATGCTGCAAACTATTATAATCTATTATCCATGCATCATCAAAATTGTGGATACTCTTAGAGACAATTAGGACATCATTGTCTTCATCTCAGAAGCTGTCACATTTGCAATCACTTGGTTCTTTGTAGTAGCCCGATCTCGATTTTTCTTGAGCTATTGCAGTCCTTCTTTCATCTTCTACTAGATGTGGCCCTTCTGAAGACAATGATTTCAATTTGTCACTATAATCAACTTCCAGAATGAACTTGATCTTGGTCTCTAGTTGCTTCTTTAACATGAGGAGCTTGTCCAACAATCAAAAGTCATTACCATTGCTAATGACTAGCTTATTTAATTTCTTGTTCTACAAAAAATTGATGTCACTTCATCGACCATGAGTGTTTCTTTGTTAGACAGCAATACTGTTACTGGACTTCCATAAGAAACTGGGAGTGAGGTTCAACAGCAACAGGCCATTATCTTATTCGGTTCATATTTATGCTAGCCACATGCACAATATACTTGTTAAACATATCAAGATTTGATGTTAGTCTCTTCTTCCATACTCAACTAATACATTTTTTTTCTTCAAATAGAGCTGATTATAAAGTAATTGACATATAATTTTTTTTTGTTTTTCCTACAAAATCTTAGGGGAGGTTTTATTTAAGATAATAGATTGCGCTTAAGAAGCAACTTGATTGTGTCTTTATCTTTCATCTCCAATTCCTACTAATCAGCTTTGAACGACAAACCAATTGCAAGCTGATTTATTTTTTGAACCAATTAATAACTTAGATTTTCAAGATCAATTAAGAGCCTAACTTTCTAGAATCAATTAATAACATTATTTTGAGATCAATTAATGTAATCTCGACGACTCAATAACCTAACTTTTCATAATAGTTTTCTTGGAATTAATTTCTATCGCTCTAGGGAATAATGTTAAGCCCAGTACCATTACTTAAGCCTGAAAACCCTAATTGATGCATTAAAGTCAACAAAATACGATTACTTAAGCCTGAAAACCCTAATGATTGCAACACCTTGTTAGAGATTACAGTCCTCGTTCTATGAGAAAGAAATCTTTATACCCAATAAGTCAATCGACAGAACAATAAAGTGGAGTCAGATCAACAATCAAAATGTAACTATGTATAAGAAGCGATCAAACCATTTTCTTGAAATGAAAGATATAAATAAGACAGAAGGCGACGGAGGCATACCTATACTCCCAGGTCTGGAATCCCGACTTGTAGAGGAGGTAATGGAGGGGCTCCCAGTAATTGAAGACCTCATCGCAGTCGTGGATGATGTTGGAGGTGGCGCTCATGTGTCGGAGCAAACCCAAAGCAAGCGCCGGCAGCAGCCACCCCACCCCCACCCGCTCCTCCTCCTTCTTCTCCCCCTTGTCCTCCTTCGAGTACCGATCCGACGACGATGACGGGGCGTCCCGATCCGCCGCCGGTGGTCGCCGCTGCCGCGCCGCCGAGACGGCCATCGCTGATCCCTCTATCGCTCGTTCTAGTTCGCCCTAGTAGGTGGAAGGGTTTCGGTATTCGGGGGAGGGAGGGATTTATGTTTAAGGTGATCCGCTGGATCAGGTCAAGAGGGCGTTGCTTCGCGGAGAAGAAGAAGCCGTTGCATCTGTCCGTGATCGACACGATAGTTGGTTAAGGATAATAAACTAGTTCGAAGAGACCACCGAAAGTGGACACGTCCTTAAGAAGCTTTTGCGGGAACAAGAAGCAAAGTTGATGCGTTCTTTGGTGTCACGTTGCGTGCACGTGATTCTCGGTATATTATATTCGAAGGGAACAGGTCTGAAATGTATCCTCTGCACAAATAGCAAATCGTATACTGCGAACACAAAATCGATTGACGAAAGTTACAGGGAGAAACACTGAGATTACCAACAGAACTAAACTTCGAACATACAATAGATAGTTTGGCATGTCAAGTTTTAGCCAGAGAGAAGGTTTCTTTCTCTGTTATTTATAATAAGGAAGGCGAAAAACAATAGCCAACTGCATTAGGCATTTACTAACTCAACTCCTTGCAAAAGCCACCACACATGATACTGCTACTAGAAAGGAACAGTGTATAGATAGATCTATCCGGTGTTCCTCATGCCGGCAGCGATGCCCTTCATCGTCAAGATGAGGGTGTCTTCGAGCCCAGGGGCATATTCACTGGCTGGATTCAATTTCACCAGATCGGCGGCTGGATCGTCAGAATCGACATCCTTCAATATGTGAGGCTTCACATTTATGATGAAGTCAGGATCCCTCATTCGCTTCAGTGTATATGCTTGACAAACATTTAGAGTCGTTATATAGGCATGGCGCAGCCGCAGTCGTTGTTTCAGATAAGGATCACCTTCAAGAAGATCCCTGTGACCAGCAACCTGCAAAAGTTTGCAGAGGTCGTGTTTCAGGATCAGAAAATTGTACGAAATCGATAAGACTAATGGAGAAGCCACTGTATGTACCAAATTTCCTGTTGTTTTATTGGTATTACTTACCCAACAGCACAGGTAGATTAAGTTAGTTTATCCTATGTTCTTATTTTTCTTTTTTAAGTTCGTTTATAAATGAGCAAATGAACAAGGACATACCACAACATTATAGCATTTCCTTCAACCTAATCAACATAAACAGAGAAGTAGAGCTCACCTGAAGAAGAAGCTGTTTTGTCTCTTCATAGTTGGCCCATAGTCGCTCCCCAAATGGCCATAACGCCTCAGAAACAAGCAATTTGTCGTAGATAGCAGCTATTCCTGGATCTCCCTTAGCAAAGACCATCTCAACCAAATCTATTGTAACCCTAAAAAAGGGCCACTCCTTGTACATCTCCTTTAGCATATGAAGATTTCTGATATCCTTGTGCATGACATGCTTGAAAGCTGCACCAAAGCCTAGCCATACAGGAAGATGAAACCTTGTCTGGGTCCAAGCAAAAATCCATGGAATTGCTCGAAGTGATTCTATTCCCCCGCTAGGCTTCCGTTTTGATGGACGACTACCAATGTTCATCCTACCATATTCTGTCTCAGGTGTGGCCTGTAAATTACAAGAAGACAGATTTACATAATGACAGCAATATTCACTGTTTTATGTGAACTGGGCCAAAATAAACATGTGAAATCATGCCGTATAATGTTGACCAAAATTTGAAATTATATTGGACCGTAGATAATAATAGGCATTTGAAATTTTGAAGAAGGTAGGAGGAATGCATGATATAATCAAAAACCAAGCCTGGAAATTAACTAAGTGAAGAAAAGAATAATAACATTACCAGAATTTACATTGTCAAACAAGGGGAATCTGGATAACAGAATTCTTCTAAAATTGTCTACAATGTCTTCTCGAGGATGAGTCATATATCAGTCCAAGGCTCCAAACACTGATTTTAACCAGTCAGACCAAGGACAATTACCGGTATACCCATACTGTAACAGTCCAAACAGTTGCTAAAACCGGTATTAGACCAGGATTAAAATCCTTGCTTTAAACATTTTACTATGAATTAGAGAAATGCAAAATGAATAATAGTATTTGCAAAACCAAGTAAACTAGCAGACGTTCAAACGCACAGCTTCATGATAGTTAACACACATACATTCTAAGCTAAGGCTTTTTGTTTTTCATCCATTATTGGCTAAATATTACTTCTGCAGCAGCATAAATATAGAAAAAAGACTACTTACCAGTCGGAAATATTCAACAAAACGAGGTTCCTTGAAAACTATTGAGCGATACTCCTCTGTGGCCACTACAGTCATCTCATCCATCAGAGCACGCCATTCTGGCTTAGGTGGAATTGGAGGGTGCATACCATGTTCAAGAGTAGCAGCTGTAAATCGTTGAAGTGTTCTAAAGCATAAATGCTCCTCCCCAAATGACTGTTCAATTACTTCACCTTGAATTGTCACACGAAATGATCCATTAATTGTTTCTGGTGGCTGAGACAATATAGCAAGATGTGTAGGGCCACCTCCTCTTCCAACAGTCCCACCTCGACCATGAAACATTGTCAATTTCACACCATATTGCTTAGCAACCTTGACAAGCTCCTCTTGAGCTTTATATAACTGCCAAGCTGCAGAAAGACGACCAGCATCCTTCCCTGAATCAGAATAACCAATCATGACTTCCTGCTTTCCGCTGATCCTGTTCATGTACCAATCTATTGAAAACAATCGGGCTAAAGCTGCAGGAGCGGCCTCAAGATCTGCAAGTTTTTCAAATAATGGGACAACTCTTAGTGGTTTCTTCACACGACACTCACGTTGCAAGAGCTCCACAGCGAGCACATCTGATGGAGCAGTTGCCATTGAGATGATATAAGCCCCAAAACTATCAGAAGGAAGTTCTGCAATAACATGTAATGTCTGCAAAACATCGGCAATTTCCTCTGTTTGTGGAAGGTCAGGACCAAATAGAGGGCGCTTGCCTCTTAGTTCACATAACAACCAGTCCTGGCGTTTTTCTTCAGACCAATCATGGTATGATCCAATTCCAAGATAATTTGTAATTGCATCAAGCACATCAGTGTGCCTATCAGATTCTTGCCTAATATCAAGTCTCACAAGAGAAAGGCCAAATGTGGATACTTGGCGCAAGAAGTCAAGAAGGCTTCCATCAGCAATAGGTCTATCGCCACAAGAGCAGAGTGACCTGTAACAGAGCTCAAGGGGTTCCAGAAGCTACAAAAGGAAATAAATTGTACTGAGAAGATAATACATGATGACTATCTAAAAGAAACCAAAACATCTACATGCGAGTCATTTGAACATGCATGCAAGTGTACATGTAGTCATGTGTGAAGATAAGATGGAAATATTCTGATAAAAAAGGCTGCCAACTGCATGAGGCTACTGCCAATGCTGGAGGATCTGGAAAGGCATGACTGTCTGCAGTTTTATTTCCACATGAGTAGTAACTATCTCATTTTTCAACTCAATGATTCCATATTGTAATGGAGCAACTTTATGGATCAAATTTCACACTCCTAAAACTTAGTATGAGTAACCACGTTGCTTAGATGAAATGCAAAAAGCTTCAAACATGTGTTTATAAATATAGTCGTAGCAAGGTTCTGAAATGGAACTTATTTAGAACTTTTCTCTTCTACATGAACAAAACATACTTAAAGATATTGTTCAAATTCAAATGATTAGACAACTAATGGAATCTTCTTCCTAGACCTTTTTTGCTCAAAGTTTGTGAAAGATTTGACAACTATCCAGACAAGCAAAAGATTTGACAGATAACCTGCTCAACGTTTGTAAAAGTTGCATCCTCTGATATGTCTGAAATTCCATTTGTTAACAAATGGCGAGAACGTTCACGTGTATTATACAGCTTATCCCTCACATCACCAAGTATAACACGATATGGCTCACTAGGTGGAACTTGTTTCCAGAATTCTGCATCAAAATTGAAAATTATCAGACTAGAACAATTCAAGCCCCATCCTAACAGACTGAACAATTCCAAGCAATACTTCGGTTCAAATATCTTTCCAGTGTCTCTGTTTAAATTGTACAAACTAGAAGGAATGGATGTTCTAATGAAAATTAGTTATATGATAGAAAAAGAGAGTTATGCACTTTCCTCGGATAAATAAACAAAAGAAGGTAGATCAGAATTTAAATTCAAACCAGGATGTTTTATGAATGCTGTTCAATCTTATCATCAATAAAATAAAGTGCCTAGCCAACCATAGAGGAAGAATACCTAGACTAAGTATTTTTGTATAAACCCACAAAATTGTATAAAACGTATCAAAACAGTATATCAAAACTTGTAGCCAATGACTACTCCTTGTAATAGTATGAAAGTACATTTTAAACTCTATTACTATTTTACAGAGGGCAGATATATATATATATATATATATATATAGAGAGAGAGAGAGAGAGAGAGAGAGAGAGAGAGAGAGAGAGAGA